ACTGTATAATCTAAAAGTTTTTAGTCTTTTAAAAATAGCTAATAACAGACATTCTTCCTTTCTAGATTGCAGCTTAACTAACAAGAAAATTGTTGATGCTATTGACTGAAGTTCTTCTCTTTCTTAATCTAATATGAATTAATGACACTTGCATGATTGTGTTAGAGTTAAAAACTCTCGCTTAACTTTCATAGCTACGATAGTATAATTAGTTCTGTTGTAGTTCTTGTGTATGCACAATAAAATGCTTGATGTTGTTTTCAATTAACTTGTTTCACTGCAAACTATTTGCTTTAAAATGTGTCAATGTTTTTTGAAGATTCGAATAACTTCGGACATTGGTAACAGGTTGCTGACTTGTTGAAACATTCATATGAATGAATTTAAGTTCAAGGATTTGGCCTTTCGCTTTGAAGTCAAAGCTGATTTATTATATCTCAACAAACAAAACCTATAAAATGACATTGCAGTGGAACTGTCACTCTAATCATTAAATGTCAAAATATTTCCCTAAATGGAAGAGTATCAAACCTCATTTGGTTCTAGTGACTCTGTTGCTGTGTCTTAAGGATCATGTGAACTTTAGTTTTCCAACTTTTATTTCAGAGTTCACAATTTTTTTTTTTAACAAAATGCCTTAGCTGTCACAATGCTGCCTTTAACAACACTGCTTTTCATGAAAAGTTTACTTTGTGATTGATTTGTTTACTGAGAAGAATGATTTAACTAGGGTACTCTCCAGAATTATTTTAGAATCACTCTTTCTGAAACATTGAACAATGCAGTGCCTATTCAGCATAGCCAATGATAATAATTAAAGAAATCTTGGTAAAATTTAATATTCAAATAGCCAGTTAGAATCTTTTACGTAAAGTAGACAGTTTGTTAGGGATGTTTTACTGAAATACCTAGCTTCAAAAGGTAGGTGTAGAAATATTTTAACAAAAATAGATTGGGCTTTGAAGGAAGCTTAAGGAAAGATGAATAAAAATGAAGTTTTTTGAGAGCCAGCAAGTGAAACTCCTCTAACATTTTAAGTGATATAATTTCTGACGACTTTCTAATATACAGGGCCAAATCTTATGATCTCTTGATCATTGGGAGCTTAGGATGAAGTAAGGACTTATATTAGAATGGCCTGGGTCAGTTTAAACTTCTGACGAGCAGTTCCCTGTTGCCCAACACCCTCCATGAAATCACTGACTGAGGTAGAGTCAGAGACTTTGCGTAGTTCCATAGTTCTTTCCTCCCCATCACCCTCATTGACTTACCCTCCAACTAACTCACTGCCATCCACCCAACTCTTTGCTGATTTCCTCATCTCAAATACTGCCCAAAGACCTGAGAAGCTCTTAACCTCTGGACTCCTCACCCTGTCTGTCCCGTGATAATCCGACTACTTACTTCTGATCAGACTGGACCACCATCGTTTGATTTTTTTTTTTATGATCATAATTTCCAGTTTGAAAACCTTGTTAAATTATGGCACTCTTAAAAAATGATTTACCTTGAACACAATGAGAAAATGGACTTTTATTGATTATGCTCATACTCTGAACTGTTGTATTCTGAAAGTGTTCAGTGCTTGAAACTGTTCCTTACATAATATACATTTCAAATTTCCCTGATAACTTGTTGATCTTACCTAGTGGCAGTTGAGTCATGCAAGACCTAAACATTCCAGCTTTGATATACTGCATTGCTGATATAAATGATGAGCTCTTGCAGCAGTAGACTTTGTTACGTGTTTGTCTCTGCCCATCTCTAATCTAAGGGTGCAATAGTTAAGTGTCCAGTGTCTAGTGTCAAGCATATAAAGGCCTTTGCTTAAAATATATGATATGTTTGGTTATTAGGCCATGATGATATAATGGTTTTTGTGAGATTCGTTGTTAAGCAACAAACCTGAAAATTTCTGAATTGGAATTACTATGCAGCATGTCTGATTTTTGGGCACAAAATAATGTGGTTGGAAGCAATTTTAGGTATTGATATGTTGAGCCCCAATACCTTAGGTTCTGTATTATTTGTCTAATGACATAACCACTATATCACCACCTTCTCCCAATCTTTTAATGAGAGGATTTTTACACATTTCAGGGTCAATATTGGAGGAGAGGAGGCTGAGAGAAAAGTCTTATCAGTATTGCATTGATTTTTTTCTGGGCTAACAGAAGGGCTGTTAAAGGCCATGAAGAAGTGAAAGGCTTTATTTCACTACCTCAAACCTGTAAATATGAGGAGAAAGATATCATCTTGTTTCTGTCTCCACAACACTGCTATTCGAGATGTCACTCCAACCTATTGTCATATTGTCCAAACCATTTACCACTGCAAACCCCCCCCCCCCCCGCCCCCCCAAAATCCTCAGCTAATGTCTTTTCCCAGATTACAACCAGCTCAAGTATGATTGGCCAATAAAGTGAGCTTGCACACAACATTCTACTCACATTCAGATTTTGCTGGTTAAATGCAAACAAGGTCCATCTTGGTCTCGACAACACAGGGCACTGTTGACAAACGACCTATTTTTGGTGCGTCCATTTCTAGCCCATTGGCTCCTTTGCTGGGATGAGATTACACCCTAGATTCCTAGCCAAATGCTCACCTCAATCTGCAAACCTTAAAACTGAGTCTGGAGCTGAGATTAGAGAACCCATGAGAAATGCAGATGATTAATATTGATGCACAATAATCTTCTGCAGGATTCACTGATAATCTTTAGAAATGCAGACTGGCCATTATATTATTTTTCTTTGAGTCTAGATAATTGAGGCTAACTGTAGCACAACCATCAAAAAGATGCACTATCAACATTAGACTGCGAATCAAATCTGCAATTGTACTGTCTTTATGGCTCAGCTGATCACTAGATAAATCTGCAGAGCTGTTAAGGGAGTTCCACTGCTTTCTGGTGAAATTTTTTTAGGTAGTTTTGGATTTGTGTGTTTAAAAGGTGCCATTTATTTCTCACCGTACAGAATATAGAATCAAACACACAACATGCTGTTTTACATCTGTTAAATTCAAGTGAGAGTGATAATGATCTCGTAATGGTTGCTACATGCCAAAATGATGATAACATCATCGAATTTTGTATTTAGTTTGTTGGTGAGAAATGTAGGTCTGAAAGTAGAGTCTTAAGCATAAATAAAGGCAGTTATGAAAAGCATTGCCAAATCAGAGTTGACTAAAGTAGACTTGGGAAATATATTACAAGATAAGATGGTAGATACTAAAGATCATGAGAGTCATTTAAGAAGATGTAACTCATCAAAAATATATTCCATTAAGAAAGAAAAAGCCCTTGAAAAGGATGAAGCATCCATGGCTAGCTAAGGCAGTTAGGAATTACATCAAATGAAAACTGAAGGTGTAAAGTGTTGTTAAAATTTCTTGTAGACCATAATTCTGACGAAATTTTACAAGGATGACTTTTTGAAAAAAATACTAGGGAGAAATTAGAATGCAAAAGTTAACAGGAAGGCAATGAGTGCTTCTAGAAGTATTTAAGCAAGACCATATCAGTCATTAGAAAATGAGGCTGGTGAATTAATAATGGGAAATTAGGAAGTCAAAGTTGCACGTAAAATGAGTTCAGTCTTCACCATAGAAAACAAGAACAAAGTATCTCAATAATAGTAGAAAATGACGACAGGGCAAAAGAGAGAGAAGAACTTAAAACGATCACCATCACGTTTTTTTTTTTGAAAAAGCACTAGTTAAGCTAATGAGACAAAAGGCATACAGCAGTCTGAAAACAATGGCCATATCCTTCAGCCTTTAAAAAGATGGCTGCATAGCTAGTAGATGAATTGGTTATAAGCTAACAAAATTTTCTAGATTCTGGAAATTTTCCAACACTGGAAAACCACACACCTCTCTTTGAGGAAGGAGAGGATGACGGAAGGCAGGACATTTGAGGCTAGTTAGCCTAATGTCAGTTATTGGAAACATTTTGGAAAGCATTATTCAGGAGGTTATAGCAGGATGCTTTTTTAACCAAAAAAAGTCATGGTATGAAAGGATAATTGTCTGATTTTTTTTTTTTTTTGAGTTCTTTGAGATGTAATGGGCTGGTACATGAATGGAGACCTGTAATGTAGCACATGTGATTTCCAAAGGGTATTCAGCAAGATGTGAAGTGTAAGGTTACTGCACAAGGTAAGAATTTGTGGGGTTGGGGGTGATATATTAGCACTGATAGAGGATTGGCTAACTAACAAGAAACATTCAGGGTAAATGGGTTGTTTTCAGTAAAGATGCCAATTTAAGCCAGAGATTCAGAGAAATTTAATCTCAGTTTTTAGTTTTGGCAATTCTTTACCCTACGAGAGCAATTGAGGTTAGGTCAAGGCTGAACTAGGCACATCTTTGCTCTACACAGGTGTCTAGGGTTATGGAGACAACAAAAAGTGAAGTTGAGACTATGATTCGATCAATCAGGATCTCATTGAATGGTGGAATGGTCTTGAGTGGTTGAATGGTCTACTCCCATTTCTTGGCATGCCTGCTGTAACATACCTCTGCAATTTTTGTAACAAATGAATTTTTAAGTTGAGATGCTATTGTGCTTCACACTACTTGTGCATTCAGATAAAGCTGGAAAGTGCTTTTGTTTGGAACAGTTTTAAACTAACACAAAGTAACTATGGACTTGAAAATGCACTATCACCTATACAACTTTTGAATGCTTGGGTTGTAATAAGATTTGTTAGTTTTTCCACTTAGAGTTGCAGGCAGTTTTAGAAACTGGGCTAAAATTAAGTTCAGATATATAGTATAATCTACAATTTGATTAAAATGCATGACTTCCAAACCAATATGAAATGTAGAATCCTGTTTTACTGAGATAGCTACAGTATAAGTGCCTCAACCAGTCATGTGATACAATGCGTATTCAGCAATGTGAATTGTGACTATTTAATTTTTTTGAAGAATACCAAAATTGAATTTTCATATCACAAATGTTTAATCTTTAATATGGATTCTTTCATCAGGGTAATGACATCATTGGTGCTGCAAAGAGGATGGCCTTGTTAATGGCAGAAATGTCACGACTGGTGCGTGGTGGTAGTGGAAACAAACGTGCCCTCATTCATTGTGCTAAAGACATAGCTAAGGCATCTGATGAAGTGACACGATTGGCAAAGGAAGTTGCCAAACAATGTACTGATAAGCGAATCAGGACTAACCTTTTACAGGTATGAACTGAAGCACTAGGCAGAGGTTGTAGGATCATAATTCAATTTGTAGGTGAGGCTGTGTCTAAATGATTTTGTACACAATTATGCTTCACAATTCAAATAGAGAGAATGAATGACTGACTGAATAAATGAAACCTTTCCTATTAGAAAAAATCCAATCTTACTCATTTTCTGTTGTGTAACATTAGGATATGTAATAAATAAGATTTTAATGTTGTCATCCACATCACAAGCACAAACAGGAAAGAAACCTGAAAGCATTCAGTAACTATCTACATTTTCTTTGCTGTTCATGTTTGCTTTCTTTTCTCAATCACAGGTGTGTGAACGTATCCCAACTATCAGTACACAACTTAAAATTCTTTCTACTGTGAAAGCTACAATGTTGGGACGCACTAACATTAGTGAAGAGGAGTCTGAGCAGGTGAGGCAGTCATCAAATTTCTGAAACCGTGACTTTGTTCAAACCAACTTTGCCTATTTATTTCTAGATTAAACATAAGAAGGAGATTTGCGTTATATAGTTGCAGCTTGGAATCTAAGCAGTTGTTAATTTTTGAGACTCCAACATAAGTCATGATAATGATACAGATCTTTACTATCTTGTTGAGTATGCATTCCCTGCAAAAAAATTGAGATACTATAAGAGGCTAAAAAGTATGTTGCTTGGAACAGGGAGCAAATAGCTTGATCCAGCCCAATCACTCTGTCAACATGGAGAACACAGATTCTGCATTACTGTGCTCAAATCATCATAGCCTATGCCTTGAACAAAATTAGTGTGCTTTAATTATTTTTCATCACAAAAAGCATCTAATTTAGCTAATTCATTATGATCCACAAAAACAATTTGATTGGATTTGTGTTTTTTAAATGGTGTGAAAATGTAAGCAAATGTATTTTGTTATAAATAAGTAAATTTATGACTAAACATATCCAAGTTATATTTGTTTAAAATACTTAAACTTTAATGATTCTTTTTGCAATTTTTGACTTTTAATGGCATTGAATAAAATGAAGCTTATGGGTATGAAACCAATTAGATAGATGTAGTTATCTTTTGATAGTTAACAGCAAGCATATTTAGAGTAGAATTTTGATCAGTATGTAATTTTCAGAAACTGAACTGTCAATATTGTGTTAGACACATTTGCATGTTTGACTTTTTTTTAAACTCAGGCTACAGAAATGTTGGTTCACAATGCTCAGAACCTGATGCAATCGGTTAAGGAAACTGTACGAGAAGCAGAGGCAGCTTCAATTAAGATCAGAACAGATGCAGGATTCACCCTTCGTTGGGTTCGGAAAACTCCATGGTACCAGTAAAATGAAGAGTATTTCCTAGTCTTTGCCATCTTGCTGCATTAAGAGAAAATTTCCTATGGATGAACAAAATACTCTACATCTAATTGGAGTGTAAAAGGAATCAAAATGGCAATGTATTGTAGTGTTAACAATTCTAATCTACAGCTTTCACTAGTAACAAAACCTTTGAAAGTTAACAGTATATTCATTTTGTGTATACAATATTAATTTGAATTATGAAATGATTAGCTTTGTTTTACACTTGGTTTCCTAAAATTTCACATTAAGAACGGTATATTGCTTCAACACCTATTTCTCATTTATCCCTATTAAACAGAATGAATCATACATTTAATCTGACATAGAAAAGATACAGTGAAGCTCTTGCTTGTTCAAGACCTGCTATTTACAAATATGAAGAACTGCTGTAGTCAATAGACAAAATGTGTAGCTTTAATCTATAACCAGCTTAATATTAACTCAAGGTTTTTTCTTCCAATGGGGTATGACACATTTTGGTGTACAATTTATGTACACTAATGATCTGGGAGCCATATGTCTGATCTATCTTGACCCTGAAGATAGTATTGAACACAATGACAGTTACACAGATGTACTTGCTGTGGCCAAGCTGTGCTATGGCAGAATACATGCTCAGTTGATTATTAAGTTTGTTTATTTGCTGTTCGTTAGGTCCCTGATGATTGATTCAGTTGTTAAGCCAAAGACACTAAGATGTTAAATTACTTTGATTGGCATTGTTTGAGAAGTGCACTACCAATCATGGAACATAGTCTATTATGTCATCAGTATTTGGCCTGATGGATCCTGAATACTAGTAATTGAAAAGTGCACATATGATTATCCAGTATGAATACATAATTAATTTGCTGAAATTCTGGTACAGTGCACAGGCTAAGATTAAGCATGGTGCTGTTTTGAATATATTTAGGTATTAGGATCAAGTACTGAAGGAATTATTAGTTTTTACTAACTCCATCACATGTTTAAATCTACATTAATGTAATCTCAAAGTCTGGACTGAATCAAAAATGGTGCAATGATTAACAGTTTAAAATGTTTGTCAATTGAGAAATTATGCTTTTTAATGAAGTGATAATTGGATGCATGCTAAGTGGATAGAATGATTTTATGAATTACAAAATTTCAATTTGGAATGGTTCATTTGTGAAAATAAACAAATGCATGTTAATTATTGAGGGAAATTGATTGTTCACAATATTTTGAACAGCCATTTTTTTGAAATAATGTATTTGTTAGAATTTGTGTATTTTTAATCTGAAATGTATACAATTGCTTAACAATATGTTGCTCAATTTTGCATTGTGCATACTTTCCACAGGGATCTGAAAGAACAAGTGTTTCCAACGAACAGATTTGAGAATGGTACTTGTGTACAATTGTTGAAAATGTGTATTATTTCCATGTCACAAGTTGAAGTATTAGAATATTCAACTAGTTACAAACCTTCAAAAGAACTCATTCCCCCCATTTTAAATGACTTTCAGTAATTGCTGTCAAAAAACAGTATTTGAACTGCATTTTGGAAAATGTCCGATGTAGACTAGTTTCAAAAATGTTGCAAATTTAAGATGGAGTTAAAGATGTAGAAAACATGGAAGATAATTAAGTTATTATTGTGACATTTGACTTGTTAAATAATTTGCCTGCATTTATATTAAAACTGGCAGTTACATCTATAATTAAAATTTCACGCACATGCAAGTTGTGGCGTTTTTTTGCCAGCACATTTTCAAATCAAATTAGAAAATGAAAAGGGATGAAAAATGAAACTGTTACGGCTGCACTTCTTAAGGGACTGATGCTTATTTATCTCTGCCTAATTGGCTTTGATAGGCATCATGATTGCAATGAAGTTATAAAAGTGTATTACTTCTATGTGGAGAGCATTGGTGTACAAAATGCTGGTGATTACTTATTTAACAGTTTAGAAACTGTTGTTGCCTCAATTAAGTGTATCTTATTGGTAGTAACTACTAAATTCAATACTTTATTCATGTTAAGTTTTTTTTAATTTTTTCTTGGGAGGAAGTGTGTCACTGGCAAGGCTAGCATTTGTTCTTCCTCCTTACTATCCTTTGAACTGTTGCTGGAGGCAGCAGTTCAAATTGATAAGTCAAAAGAAATCTTGGAACTATTGTTTGTCCATCCAGTACTTGGCAGCTGTGAAAATTAAATGACCACATCCCTACTATTCAACTTGAAAAAACATAAGTATAAATGGAATGTGCTGTAATCAAGCAGTAGACTTTATCTTTGATACATCTTTTCTAAATGAAGATAATATTAATACAAATAGGGAAACAATTACACTTCAGTTCCAGTACATATTTTAATGGTTGTTACTTCATCAAATTTTTATGTGAAAGAATATTTATTCTTCTAAGTCACTCAATTTATCAAAGCATTGTGATTTTTAAGCCATGTTTGTAGATTCGCTATTTTACTATAAAGCCTAAATACATTGTAATTTTACATCGGATACTGGATTTCTAAACATTAGTTTCGGAATTAGGATTATGTTCAGACTGCCAGCTTCAGTTTAGTGGAGGGCAGTGAAATTGAGGTCAAACTCTAATTGTAATATGGTCTAATGTATTGTACCACGTAATAAATCATGTATCAAATACCTCAGCATGGGTGGACAAGTTTTCTTTGAAATGGCAACTTGGTTTTCCTGCTGGATTTAACATCAGTTTACAGTGGCAACTTTCTCAATTTTGAGTAATCTAGTAAAGGAAAAGTTGGATACTGCGTAGCTCACTTTTTCTATCAATTACTGAAATGAAACAAATTTACTAGAACTTTGCTCCAAACCACTAGACCACAATCGAATCTGGAATCCTATGGCCAGTGTTTACGGCAGTGAAATGTAAATGTAAAAACTAGAATATTTAACTTTGGTAATATTCTGCCTGATTATGGAATGTATTTAAGAATATGAATAATCAAGAAGAGTATGTTCATTGGCTATAACCAGGATTGATGACTTAAGAATTAAATTTGTCATTAGCTGCAATTGTGTAAATAAAGTATTTTGTAACATTTTGTGTCACAATTGAATAAGATGTTGAATTCATATCCCACAGAAACACGAGTCTTAAAGGAACATCTTTTGAAGTTATGCACTACTTGAAGCTTGAAGGTAAAGCTGTTTTTTAAAAAAAAAATAAAAATTCAGCTTTAACAACTGTTTTCGTTGCTGAAATTTGAAATAAAATACCTGTGACTGTGCACAAAGATGTTTAGCCAGTAAAAGTTAAGTATTTAGTTAGATGCTATTCTGTGATGCTGTTACACCAAATTATGCAGCTTTGTTGCGAGATGAAAAGTTCAAAAAAATCTTGTATTCCCTCTAACCTAAAGCTACAGAAGCTCAGGATACCGGTCAACTTCTCACTACAACAGCAATGTTGTCATCTTGATCACTCAAAGTTGGATTTACATTTCAGTCCACTGAGTACCCTCTTCTTTGTCATTTTGAGTGATGTATAGGATTCATCAGCCAGTACTACTTTTAGCTGAAAGAACTGCAGCTGCTGTAAATTGGGAACAAACAAAATTGCTGGAAAAGTTCAGCAGATATGACAGCATGTTGAAAGGAAAAAAAAAAGTTAACATTTCGGGACCTGAAACTTTAACTCTCTTTTGCTTTACCAATGCTGCCAGACCTGCTGAGCTTTTCCAGCAACTTACGTACAAAAACAATTTTAGCCTGATGAAAGATGCTGCACTATGCAACGTGGTTTTTCCTCTGACAAAAGACAGCAACAGCCAAGCTGAAATATAAAAATTGAGATGTTTGAATCATCGGACACGAGTACAAAATGTGACCCAAAATATTTATTAAACCTATTCCTGAATATTACAGTAAACATTCAATGCTATTGGCTACCGTTAAAGTAATCTACTTCAAGTGTTGCAATTTAGTACTTGTCAGGCACAAACAGTGGATAACATACATAATTCTATTGAGCTATGCTAACCTGCTCCCTTCTAAACACTTTCAAATATGTGCATGCATGACCGTGTCAATCGTTTGAAGTAGTAATATATGCATAAATAGGTTTCCATGCACAATTTGATGCTAATTTATAATTTCTACTATGCTGTATTTGGTGTCATACATAATCCAGGATATTTTAGTAAACATTGGAACTGTTTATGAAAAACAGTTCCAATTACATAAGCCAGTTTTCATATTCCTGTTTTAAAAAAATCAGTAATTAAGGCAATTAACTCATAGAAATATTTCATGTTTTCCCTTTCACTTCAATAAAAGCAGTTTCAGAAATGTTAAATTTTCAAAAATAATTGTTCTGTTTAGTTGAATTCCAAATGACAGGAAATATCCAAGTTTCAAATTTTATTTTCTTGCCCTCATGTCCGGACTTGAAATTTTCCTGCTTTGGTGATATATTTTACACCTTTGAATGGTTTGTATTTTTCTCCATACATGTCCAGTCGATTGACTTTCAAACCTAGGAAGGAAAAGTAAAATAGTATTTCAAAACGTGAAAAAATACTTTCTCAAATGAAACCTTCCCTTCCTTCTAAGGCACAAGTGTGGATATTCATTTACACTTGCCTAATGTTCAGGTTATAATTCACATGGCAGAGGATCTGGACAATAGCCAGGCTTGAGCTGACAAATGTCAAACAATGACTCATCAGTAAGAGACACTCAATAGTATTACCTTCACTTAATCCCTCACTATTAAAAAATCCTTGTTAGTACTGATCAAACTCAACTGGACTTACCACAAACACACTGGGCTACAACAGCAAGCAAGTGGCTAGGAATACCTGATTTCTCAAAGCCTATCCACCATCTACAAGGCACAAGTCCAGAATATGATGGAATACTCACCCAGGCAAGTGGGATTTGTATTATTTGCAGCCGTGTGTACAACCTACTAGATGCACTGTAGAAATTGAAAGAATCATTTCCTTCTAGAAGGACAAGGGACGGTAGCTCCAGGGGAACATCAGCACCTGCACATAACTCTTTCAAGACACTCGACAGCCTGACTTGGAAATATAATTACTACTACTTCACTTGATACAAGACATACAGGTTAGCGTGGTACAACAGCACAAAGATAATCATAGTAACCATCATCACTGTTCATAAAAAACCTAAACCTAGCCAGAACATTGTTCACATTTAGAGCAAGGACGCTGACAGTACTACAGAAGAGGTAAAAATGGGCATATTGAATAGAGAGACACAGAAACATACAACATGGGAGCAGTAGACCATTTAGTACAATCATGGCTGATTATTGATCTCAGTACCCTAATCCTACCCTCTCCCCTATCCCTCAACCACAGGAGTGGTATCTACATCCTTGAATATGCATTTTTTTGGTCTCAACCCCTTTGTGGTAGTGAATCCCATGCCCTCACTAATCTCTGGGTGAAGAAATTTCTTACCCATCCTTAAAAGGTTTTCCACTTAGATGATTTTGTACCAACATTTATGACCACATAATATTAACTAGCAAAATGAGAAATTAAATATATACTACTTTTTAGTTACCTGTGGAGAATCAATTATACTTTTGTAAAGGAACTGAATCTTCAATGGGATAACATCCACGTCGTCATCATCATCTAAATCATGCACATTTTGTTTTTATCTACTCAATCCCAAGCCTTAGACTTGAATGGGCACTTTAATTCAATTTTTTTCTGCTCCTTGGTGTGGTTCGAATATTGTCAAATATTTCCACTCTCCTGTGTGACTGAGTTTTCCTCCATTAAAATATTTTCTTGACAGTTACTACTTACTTCTATTTCACCATCTTTGCAATTTTCTTACACTTGATCGTTTTCGGCTTTCAAAGATTTGCCCAGTTAAGAGATTTCAATGCTTCTGCTGCTAAATATTGATGTCTACACTTAAAATACTTCAGTCTGAATACTGCCGTTCGTAGCCTCTGTCAAAGCATTTTGCAGTCAGTGAAGCACTTACTGTAATCATTTGCATTTTGGAAACAGCTCAGTTGTGTTCTGTTGATTGACATAAATATTGAAAAGGACACCAACGATAAATTTTCTGCTGCTCTTGGAAATGACGCCAAGGGATCTTCTAATGTTTCTTTGACAGCATCTCTTTTCGGTATAGATTTCAAGTCTGAAGAAAGCAGATGCAATTCCCAACACAGAATACCACTGCCTCCTCAAACTATCATACAACAGCTTCAACGCTCTTATCTCCTTTCAGTACAAGTTCAACTCCAACATCCTCCTTTACTACTTCTTGTTACATGTACAGATGTGGGAAAACTCCTTTCCAAGAGATGTATTGTAATTACTAGTAAATTACGAGTTATGAAATACAGCCCTATGCCAAAAGTTCTAAGAAAGTACAAATCAATGATCCTACACTAGAAAGTAACATTGCCACTTCTATTACTATCTTGTCAGCATTCCGGCCCTCTTTAAAGTAAACCGCACATTTTTTTCTCACCTGATACAGCAAGTTGTTGGATTCGAAACTGAACATTAATTGTTGGATTCTCTTCTGGTTTGGGTGCCCCAGATTGTAGGTTAACCACTCCCTTTAGACCTGGTAACTTGGGCAAGGTAATTTTTCCAATATCCCAAGTTAACACCTGAGAGAGAGCCACAGGATCGTGTCAAATTATTAAATCTGTTACTTCCTCCTTCAATACTGAGAAGTCTTAAGGATTACTTTCAACATTTTAAAAATCTACCAATGGTAACATAACATTAAAGTAACGACATACACATATTGCAGTGTAAAAATTGTTCAGAGATGCTGGGACTTACCTTGGTAACTGGATCAAATGTGTAAGTGCCCTGTGCTGCAGTCAGGGTCATATTAAGCACTCCTTTAGGCATATGAATAATCATTAGAACACTCTCCAGTGTCTTTCCCATGGTCTGTTTTGGCCCAATCGTTACATCAAATCGCCCTGTAGATCCATTTTCTTTGAAGCTGATGTTGTGTTTTACATAAACCGGTATTGCCACCAAGCTGAAAATACAAATCTTGACGAGTATGGTTTCAGATTCCTTTTTTTTTTTTGAGATTTTGATTGGTTTAAAAACAGCCTACAACTTCTTTTCAGAATCTCAAGTCTCAATCAAAGTGCCCATTAAGCTTCAAATTTTCAGGGACTGAAAATAGTAATACAATAAGTCTGAGCAGGAGTCTTGTCAATCCTGCTCCACCACCATTGCCTCAACTTTGATTTCCCATGACTCCCTCCCAATAACCCTTCAGACCCTTAATGAGAATTCTTCATTAAGATGGATTATGAGTCTGAAATAGGGATTCTAAATCTAAATAAACTAGAACACTAAGAAGCACAAGTTAGTGATGATAAATTGGAGACCATTACGTCAAGGGATGATAGTGGATAGGCAATGGCAGACAATTAGAGTGCAATGGAGGAACCATAACCGTTTTTTCATCATGTGGACTGAATCAAAGTAGCTGAAGACTGGTTTATGTAACACTTGGGACCACTGGACGAGGCCAAGATGGATTATCCACTTGGTGCTTCTGGCTGAAGAATGTGTGGTTAACTAAGGAGGTTAAAGACAGCATCAAAGAAAAAGCTTAATTGTGCAAAGATGGACAGCAGGTCAGAAGATTGGACAAACTGTAAAGATCAGCGAAGAATTATGACGATTAAAGACGGAAAAATAGTACAAGAGGAAAACTAGCTAGAAATATTAAAGCAACTAGGAAGAGATAACTACAAAGGAATTAAGTGAGCAGTGGTCATAGAATAACAGTTGTACAGCACAGAAACTGACCGTTTTGGTGCAATTCATCCATTCTGACCAGATATGCTAAACTAATCTAGTTCCATGTGCCAGCATTTGGCCCATATCCCTCTAAACCCTTCCTATTCATTTACCCATCCAGATGCCTTTTAAGTGTTATAATTGTACTAGCATGCACCGCTTCCTCTGACAGCTCATTCCATACACGCACCACCCTCTGCACGAAGAATTTGCTCCTCAGGTCTCTTTTATATCTGTCCTCTCAAACCTGTGCTCTCTATTTTGGACTCCCCTTACCTGGGAAAAAGACCTTGGCTATTAACTCTATCCATGCCCCTCATGATTTTATAAACCTCTAAAATCACCCCTCAGCCTCCAATGCTCTAGGAAAAATAGCCCCAGCCTATTCAGCCTCTCCCTGAAGCTCAAACCCTCCAGCCCCAGCAACATCTTTGTGAATCTTTTCTGCACCCTTTCAAGTTTAACAACATCTTTCCTACAGCAGGGAGACCAGAACTGAATGCAGTATTCCAAAACTGGCCCAACCAACATTCCGTACAGCCACATGACATCCCAACTTCTGTACTCAATCCACTGACCAATAAGGCAAGCATCGTAAATGCCTTCTTCGCTACCCTGTCTACTTGTGACTCTACTATGAAACTGCACCCCAAGGTTGTCTTGTCTGGCAAGGCTCGCCAGGACCCTAGACTGATTTCAGAGATAAGGGCTTATGACAAGAGATTAAGCAATTTAGCCTATACTGTTTGGAGTTTAGAACAACAAGAGATCTAATTCAGGCATAAGAGATGCTGAAGGAGATTGACAAAGCAGACATAGAAAGGATGTTACCTCATATGGGGCAGTCCAGAATAGAGGGGTTGCAGATTTAAAACAGATGAGGAGAAATTACTTCTCTCAAAGGGTTGCAAATCAGTGGAATTCCTTACCCTAGACAGTGGTGGATGCTGGGATATTGAGTACATTTAAAGACTACATAGACAGATTTCTAATTAGGAACGTGTTGAAGGATTGTGGAGAACAGGCAGTTAAGTGGAGCTGAGGCTGAAATGACATCAGCCATGATCATAAGAGAAGACAGAGTGGGCTTGAGGGGCTAAACTGCCTATTCCTTCTCCTTGTTAGGTTTTTACGTAACTGTCACAACATGTTCTTACAATTATACTTTATTTTCCTTGCAACAAACACCATCATTCCATTTGTATTCCTTATCACTTGCTGTACTTGCATTCTCAAGTTGTGATTCATGTCTCAGGACACCCAGTAATTCCAAGCACATAGTTGGACTTTGTGGGACATCATTTGTCATTTCTTGCCAATTTGAGTGCATAGCCATTATTCGTCTTCTCTCTCTCTTCTACTACTTTACCAGCTACATAAACTGCCTTTGATTCCATGAATGTTAACTTCAGCTAACAAGTTTTTATATGGAACCTAAGTGAATGCCTACTGTAAATCTATTTTTACCACATCAACAGATTTTCCTGTGATACTCCTACCTCTTTAAATTCTCATATTCAAGTCCTGTCCACTGCTTTGGCCCACTTCTCTTTCAAAACCACCATTACCTTTCCATTCTCTACCATTTGGCTTTTTGACTGTAGCCTGCCCTCCTCTAATCCATCTAAAGCTTTTATATTTATACTTTTACCATAGGAAAATATCCAAAGTAAGGCTTATAATACAAAATTAGGACCCTTACCACCAAACAATATTTAGGCAGGTGGCCAAAAGCTTTGTCAAAAATCTAAATTAGCTGTCAGTTGCTTGGGCTTAACTTGTTGAAACTCCTTCATGAGACTCTTCTTTCTCCACTTCCAAATAAAAGCATCCTGAAATCTCATCATTTGTCTCAAATACCTCTGTTTTCTTCTGATCTGGTATTTCTCTACATCATTACAAAAACATAGAGGCGTTTTACAGTTGGCATTCCACTTAACATGCAAGTTACAGCTGAGAATGGAGGTTAAAGAAATGTTGACCAATCTCATCAGAAGAAAGACAGAGTTCACAATATTGGGCCAACTTGAAAGCCACTTAAACCAAAACACTCAAACACTTTCATTAGTTAGCCTGAGCTTTAAAAATAATTCAAACCAGTTTGAACATTTTATGCTTTTTATCATGGTGAACTGACCAAAATGCAAAAATCTTTCAATTCTCAAGATACTACCTGCTAGTATCAAGTTTCATTCATCAACATTGAAAATTAGTTGGCAATAATAAGTGTGATTAGTTGGCAATAGTAACAATGTCGAAAGAATATGCCGAAGTTGTTATTAAGTCAGTTAATTACATCAGTTATTCCTTATTTATTGTCCCAGAATAGACCTCTTTATTAAACTAGTCAAATTTTCAAATATGCCAAAAAAATCTTACTTTTGTGAGCTGACGTGGTAAGACATCAAACGGAAATTTCCATCTGGAGGAATGAATGACAGAACTCGCTCAGATTCCCATCTTTTAAAGCGAACACATGGATGGAAGCTGACATCATCTAGTAGTCTTGGATTCTACCAGTGATGAAAATTTGGGTGCATTTTTAGGCATGAGTAATATTAGTATCTGAACATTTAAATGAATGAAATAAACCGCAGAACATTATGAAATGTTTGCATTAGTAGATTATGGATGCAACAGTTAAGGGATTCTCTCAAATTCCTTGCAATAAATATATAAATAAATACAGTACTCACCATAAAGGAAAGGGTGAGGTCTGGCATTCCAGTTAGCTTGATGCAAGCATCAATAACACCCTGAATTTCAGCAAAGACCGTTGATCCTGCCATAAACATAAACTACCAAAGCTAAACCACTTAAAATATAAGAGTATTTTGTGCAAACTATTAACAAAGCAAAATTACTTAATGCTTGACATACTGAAGACTTAAGTGTTGATAGGAAGTGCTTTTTTCTTTAACTGAAATGGTTTCCTTGCTAATAGCTGTAGGATCTGATTGGCTGCAGTGGCTACAATAGTTACAAAACAAACTTTTACCTGATTTGTCAATGATGGCATCAATTTCCTCTGTAACATCAAAATAAGCTTCATTATTTGTATATTTGACTCCTGCTCTTCGCCATGGGATATTTGACAGTTGGCCCGTTGGAAGTTGATCTCCTACATTACTGCTACCTAACAATTAAAAATATAAAAAGGTATAACTTCATCCATTCCTTGCAATAGTGTACGTTAATACTGTACATAAGAAGTTTCTACAAAGATGGATTTCTAAACAATGGAAATCATTCAGAGTTGTAGTTTTTGCGCAATATTGCAACATCTCCCAACTTGAAAGAGATAGAAACTTTTCCACATCATAAGCATTTCAATTCAGGAAACTGGATGAAGAGCAAGGAAATCTTAGTCTAAGTAGATTTTGACCACTTCAGTAATCTCAACTGTCATGTCAACTTGCTGAAGGCTACAGTTCAGCATCCTTCCTCTTTTTCTTCCAGCTTTGGACAAAATGATATCCATGTCTTAGCAACAGTTTCACTTGGGAAGCGGAATTGATTTTAAACTGCACTGTCATTTTCATTTATACAGCCAGTTACAGAGAAATAAGTAGATGAGTGATCTTACAGATTGGCCACAGCATATAAAAATGCAATAAGGGCTTTTGTAGCACTGTCTTAGCATGCCTACCTCTGAACCAGGAGGTCTGGTTTCAAGTCCCACCTGCTTCGGAAGTGTGTAACAACATCTCTTTTTCAGATTGATCCGAATTAGGTTATGTTGGCTCTCTGAAGAAGCAATTCACCTGGTGCCACTTTGCCTACTTTCTCTTTGTAGCCCTGCACATTTTTCCACTCCGATCATATCCCAATTTCCTCTTGAAAGCTTCTATTGAACATGCTTCCATGATACTCACAGACATTACATTTCAATTCCAACCACTCACTACCATAAAAATGCTTTGTCGTATGTTGCCATTGTTTTTTCACAAGTACCATAAATCCACACACTCTCTTTTTCAATCGTTGCATTGATGGGAACAGATTTCCCCCCCCACATCCACTCTGTCCAGACGCCTCTTGATTTTGAATACCTGTCAACTTTTCCCTCAATCTTCTCTTTTCCAAAGTAAACTATATCTCCAAAAATGTCCACAAAACTCAAGTTCCCTATTGCTGGAACCAATTTTGTGATTTTTTTCAGTACCATCTGTACATCGTTTCCAAAGTGAGACAGCCAGAACTAAATCCAATACTCCAAATGAGGGGTGAACTAGAACTTATGCAAGTTAAACACAACTTCCATGATTTTGTACTCAATGCCTCTACTGATAAATTCAGATGCCATCTGCTTTATTAACTGCACTTTCAATTTGTCCTGCCACTTTAACTTAATTCACAGAGATCAGTAAAGGTAAAGTCATGACAGGGCTGATCGCTCACGAAAGAGATGACTAGTGGTGAGATTAACCGGAAGGTCACCACACCTCAGGTGAGGTTGAGAACGTGGGACCTTCATGCTAGCATCATCTGGTACAGTAAATGCTATTGGTGTCATTCTGCATTGTAAACCATTCAAATAAGCTAACTGACCTCCATATTTCTGCAAATATACCCAGGCTGACCTGCTTCTGCAACCTCTTTAGAATTGTACTTTTTCTTCTACTGACCCATCCATGATCTTTCCACAAATATGAATCACTTCTCACTTTACTACATTCAACTTCATCAGCCATTTCTCCACTCATTTTGTGTAACTCATGTCCATTTGAGGATTTGCATGACCCTCTCTCAGTTCATTAAAAGATTAAGTTTTGTGTCATTGTCAAATTCTGAAATTGTGCCCTGGTATATGTTATTCATATTCATCAAGAAGAATAGGAATCTTATCACCAACCCCTGGGGCACTCCAATCACATATGAGGAAGGGTCACTCGTCCTGAAACGTTCTCCACAGATGCCGCCAGACCTGCTGAGCGTATCCAGCAATGTCTGTTTTGGTTTCCATTAACCATTGCTGTTTCCTGTTATTCAGCAAATTTTGAATATATATTGCCACTGTTGCAATTATTTCATGAGCTCTTAACTTTGCTCATGTTTGTAGCATGGCAATTCGACAAATGCTTTTGCAAGTCCATGTTCAGTATATCAACAGTGTTACCTCAACTGAAGTTAATTAAGCACGATGTGCATCTTCAATCTGATGATGGTCCATATGTGTAGACCCATTGCTCAAATTTACCATCTTACAGTACAGAAGGAGATGGGTCAGCCAATGACTCTTTGAAAGAGCGACGTGAATTAGTCCCATACACCAGCTTTTTTCCAATAACCTTATTACTTGGTCCTCTTCAAATATGTCTTTTAAGTGTACCTACAGAATCTGTTTCCATGACTTAGGTAAAATATTCCAAATCTCAACAACCCTGTATGGAAAAAAAGAAGTGTCTTCACTCCCCTTCAGTTGTTTTATAAATTATCTTACTTCTGTGACCTTAGCTTAAAGACCCTCATGCCAGAGAAAAGAGTTTATTCTATCAAACAAATCCTCATAATTCTGAACGCCACTCTTTTGATGAGGTAGAAGAGCCACTTCTTACCCGTAATAGTGTTAACAACAGAGCGAAGAATTGTAGGAGGTTTAATTAGTTCTTTTAAGATATTGGATTCAGTAGCCAATGGAAAACCATTATCCAACATTTCTTCCAGAAGTTCATACACGATAACAACGTTATCCTTAATTGAAGCCTCAGAGCATTCTCCAAAATAGTCCTGAAGAACAATGTGATAATGCAATTCCTTAATTAAACTATTTGTGTCAGACTGAAGATTTTTAAAAATATACATTTATGGCACATTTTACAGCTTTGGGACAACCCAATTTATAGCTAGTACTTCTAAAAAATGGGTCAGAAATCCAGGAATGCTCCACATTGTAAATCATTTCTTAAGTGATAATGATGTTGATCAAGAGTCAAGATGCCCTTTTCCTTGTGACTGTGTCAAAGGATTTTATGTCCGCCTGAGAAGGTAGACAAGACCTCGATTTCCTCTCTCATCTGAGCACCTCTCTCCCACAATGCGTAGTACTCCCTGAACACACTTGGTGTCCCAAGGAATCAAGGGATTTGGGGAGTATGTAGGAACTGTTGAATTAACCCCAAGAGGTTACACCGAATGGTAGAACAGTTTCCAATGGCCACAGGATCTCTGTTGTTTTCTTGTATTGTACACTCAAGTCTCTGGAGGGGGACTTGAACCCAACAATCATCTCACTCCCACCCAGGCTCTAGCTAATACACATTCAGTGTTAAGTGCAACATCGGTAAATTCCCCAAACGAGATTCTCCTGCAAAGAGATTCACTTCACGTCGAAACAAACTGACAAAAGACGCCGAAGGTAGTTCCATTTACAGTGACGGACTTTTTGATTTCCCCCTTACGTTTGGCGTGTACAAACCTGCAAAGTTTCTGCCACTCGATGGAGAAACTCAATGACAAAGAGAGGAGGCACTTCGGACTGAATGACAGCAACGAAGAAGATCTTGTCTCTGTATGTGCTGACCAAGTAGTGATGGGGTGTGGGGATCACCGGAGGCACATTTTCCGCCTCCCCGGCTTTCTCCAGGGCCTCGAAGAAATAATCACAGACTGACCGGCTCACCACACTCTTCCAATGTTTCTCCAGAAAGATATCGCCAGTGTTGTTGATGAGAAACAGGCTATGGATCATTTTTTTCTTGTTTCGTCCCAGTGGTTGATTTGTGTTCTTTTAAACCGTGAAGTGGTGTTGCCCGGCCACACGAACAGCCTCAAAGACATCAACTCAATCCGTCAAAGAGCAGCTCCAGGAATATGGCGGCGCCGCCGCCGGAAGCAGCTCCTGGTAACAGAAAACAAGACATTTTAAAAGAAAATATTACACATTCACGAATCACCGCACACGAGTTCTGCACGAAAAAATGGATTGAGAGGGGAAAAAGGTATATTTTGCTGCTAGCCCAATTGGAAACAGGTTTGTTTTACTAATTCCATTGCATGTAAATGAAAGAGACAATCATGGGTCGCTTTATCCTAAAATGTCACGTCCTGTGACTGAAAAGAACGCTTTTCATGCCCCTTGCTGGGTCTCGATGTACTTTTGGGTTTTCAAAATTATTACAGGCCATTGGATTGATTGTTGCGTTGTTTCCCTATTATGGTCCAATCGACTTTATGACTCTATTACTTCTTTTAGCTATGGATTTCCTTTTTGTTTGCATCATTAATAAAATTGATAGCCATGTTGTTAACGGTCCGATCATTTTATTTTTCACCCGCTCACTTACATCTGTACCCAAGACCTGAAAACTACCACCGAATAATTCTGGAAATTTGGCAAATCTACGCTTCATTCGCTTCTATTCAACCTGTCATTGCTTGCGATTTAGTGGGCGGGTCTGGACTATGTAAAATGTTAACCGACAAGTATTTCATATTATAAACTTGAACGGTCTGCTTTCCTAAAGCGCTCCACCCCGCTCCTACTGTCGACTGCTTGTGCCTCCTTCCCGGGCTGTCGACGTGATCTGCCTACTCCGCATGCGCATTGCCACTCTAGCTCCGCCCTTGTCGTTTCTCCTTTGCACTGGACCCTTCCTGTCCACGTCCCTCCGCTCCACCCATTCACACTCCAGCCCACGCGCCGCCTCTCCGGCCCCGTCCCTTTCCTTATTTGCATGTCGCCAGCCTTGCCCCGCCCCTCAACCGCAGGGCCCAACCCCGACGCGGCCACAGTTCTCACCCGCCCTCCAGCCCCGCCCCCTTCCGCCCCTCCCCGCGCTCTTTCTCTAACCGCACATCTTCACTCTGTCTCTGACTTCCTCGCCTGTCCCCACTTAAGTTCCACTTTGCGTAGGTTATTCCCTTCCTCGCGCCACGCGCGTTTCCCCACTCCGGTTCCTCCCTTCCAGCGCGCGGCGGCGTGAATTGGGAAGTAATGGCAACGGACGGACCTCAACCGGCGAAAAAAATCAAGCTGCAGCACAATTCCCTCAGGTAAAAAGGAACACCCAGCCATGAAAACAGAGTGCCTGATCTTTTGGTTAATATTTGAACGGTGATTGTTGATGATTTGAAACCACACTGCCCCCAGCGCACGTTCAAAGATTTTCTTCATTCATTGTCAGGAAAGAAAGTCGATCAAAAATAAGCCTTTCGCATAATGAGCAAGAAATGTTTGAAATGAGTGTCTACCACGCCGTGCATTTGCAGCAATTTTAAGACAGCAGATTTGTTTTCAAAGTTGTGCTTTACTCCCATGGGCATATTCGACTTATAGACTTTTATTTTTGGGTTTTGTGGTGGTTTAATTTGTTGCTGAGATTTTTGTTAGTTTTTCTTACTTGCTGTTGTGCCTTTTTATTGAAAATCTAACCGCTCTGGTTAGACTCCTTACTGTTGGACTTTTAATTTGTCCTCCCTCTCTGTACTCAAGGTCACAAAACAGCCCGAACCACCTTTCACGTTACAAAAAAAAGCTTCAAATAATGCCAAAGCCACTGACTGAAGAATCGTTTAAAATTCCCCAAAATGTGGTTTTCATGCATCTTTCACGTTGTATCAAAATTGCAGCTCATGAAACTCGAAACCCGGTGATTAGTAATCAAAAACACAACCCAGTACTCTTTTTGCCCCCCATCCCCCCCAAAGTAATTGCGTCCTGGCTGGTACTAACTACCCCTGCACAAAATAGACTTGGACAGCCTTACATTGGAAACGCAATCAAGTGTCTGCGGCTCTTACTCTTCATTGCTGGTTCTATAAGCGCGATTATCGCTTGTTCGATCTCAACGTCCGTGTACAGGTCCACAAAAGTCAATTTTCATTTAGATTTGCAACATGCGTCAATAGGGTATTCCTTTGATTTCGTGAAGACCGCGAACGAATTTATTAAGCACGCTGCAGTTTGCCTACTTGTGATCTTTTTTATTCTATTTGTTTTTGATTTCATTGTTAGTTTCCATTTAGAAAATATGCTTGTCTATTTCAGCTTCGCAGTCTTTAGCATCACAATACGGAGGAAAATTAGATTTTTATTTATGCTAATTAACATTTATCATTCTGCATTTCAAAAATTCATGCGTGGGACGAGTCTAGGGAATTAGCTAGCTCACAAGTCCAAGGGGTGTTGTCATGAGCAGAGGTAACAAGTTGCCACAATGAAGCAATCTATGATCAATGGAAATTCTTAACCGTGACAATGTTTGTGTTGGTCCGTCGCTTTTTTTTTGTTCAATTTGCTCAGTTAACTAAAATTGATACAAGTTTTTTAAATCTGATTGGAAACATCTTTTAATCCAAGATTTTTCTGCATATTTTGTTTTTCTGTTTCCTTATTCTCTTCCCCACCTTTATTATTTCAGGGGAGCGCTGTCAAGGCCATCAATTAATGCCCTAATTACCTGTGCACTGAGAGGCTTGCTTGGCTTGAAGAAGAGGTTACGAATCAGCTACGCTGCTGTGGGTCTGGAGTCAAATATAGGCCAGACCTGTTAAGGGCAGTCGATTTCTACCCCACCTTTTACCATGTTGGCAAAACATTAGCCTGTGCTTCTGGGTTAATTGTCTAGGACAATATGCCACTCAGATAGTAAGAACTGCCGATGCTGGAGTCAGAGATAACAGTGTGGAGCTGGAGGAACACAGCAGGTCAGGCAGCATCAGAGGAACAGGAAAGTTGACGTTTTGGGTTGGGATCTGAAGAAGGGTCCCGACCCAAAACGTCAACTTTCCTGCTCTTCTGATGCTGCCTGGTCTGCTGTGCTTCTCCAGCTCCACACTGTGTTAACACTATGCCACTATTCCTTTTCATGCTAGCTCTTTTTGTGTCAAAGATATGAGTGTAGATGTAGCAGTGAAATTACGCAGTCCTCTCATTTGACAATTTCCTGAGTGCTGTGTTCCACTTGTTTACCCAAGATATAAGCATCAGATTAAAGCTCTGGAGGTTGAATTGTCGTGAAACTCTACCTTTTCAGTCTTGTAGCAAGAGAGTTGGTAATATGGCTACAAGGTTTGAAATGATACAAAAAAAGTAGATATAGAGCGTAACTTCATGGCAACTAAGAAAATGCAGTGAGGGGGGCAGTTTTAAATGGAAGGCAAATTTTGGATTTGTTTATGCAAAGAGTGATTGGAACAGAGTTCTTTGTAGCATTGTCTTGGTGATGACATTGAAAGACTTAAGACAATTAAATATTTTGGTAAGATTTTCCCAAGTGATTGGGCTACGCTGGGTCACATTTGTACTTGTGCTGTGATTTCTGCTGGTCTAGTGGCCACGAAGGCTTAAAAGCAAAATACTCTGAATGCTGGAATTGTGGAAGAAAAATATGGAAAATGCTGTTTTGAAGAAGGGTCATTCTTGGACTCAAAACATTAACTCTGTTTCTGTGTCCACAGATGTCAAGCCAAAGCTCCAATTGTACACAATGCAGCAATCCTTGATTTTTAAAATAGATCTTTTCCTATTTTGGTCCCCAGTCAAAAATACAGAAAATTAAACACTAATTTATTTAAAATTAAACAATTTAGCATTTCTGAAGAAGGGTCTAGGCCCGAAACGTCACCTTTCCTGCTCCTCTGATGCTGCTTGGCCTGCTGTGTTCATCCAGCTCTACACCTTGTTATCCCAGATTCTCCAGCACCTGCAGTTCCTGTTATCTCTGGGAAAATTAAACAGACAGGTTCTTTACACTATAATGGAATTTAAACCCAAATCCGAATTTTTGTCTATGCCTATCAATTTCTGACAATGCGGTATCCCATTATGATGTACGTTGTAATGAGCTTATGTCTGTGGGAGTACAGTGAATCTGGTTTCAACAGCATACAGTCAGTGTGTGCTATAATCATTTTTTGCAACATATTTACTGTTACATAATTATACTGCATAACTTGTTTAATGTCTCTGCCATTTCCTATTCTCCATTATTTCTCCTGTGTCAGTTTTAAGGGACCCATATTTACTTTGATTCTCTTATTTACGTAAATATGTAAGCTTTCTCATTGAACCTCATAATCTTTGGATTATTTCCTGAGCAATTTGGCATAAGGAAAATCAAATTAGAGAGAAGAATACTTGGCTCAAAGACTGGTGTGGGAATAGTGTGTTCTGGTTCATGCAGTTGTGGTACCAGAACGAGGGCAAATCGGATCTGTACTGATCAGATGATCTGCACCTGAACAGTGCTGGAGCTGGTGTTCTTGCCAACTGCATAACTAGGGAAGTAAAATGTCGAGATAGTCTTACCAGATTATAGGCCAACTCTCTCATGAGAGCGAAATGACTGGTGGTGGTTTAACCTGAGCGTCACCACACATCAGGTGAGAGGAGAGGTTGAGAAGGAGAGTTTGTCATGGTAACTTCAGCTGGGGATGGCAAGGGATCAAATTTGGGATGATGTGATAAATTAAAGCATAGAGTAGAGGTCAAAGAAGAAGGTAGTACATGGGAAACAGACTCTTAAAGAGATGGCAATTATAAGGGTAACAAATAATTAAGATGAGACTTTACAACATTATTAAGGTAAAACTAAATACTCTATCTGAATTCGCTATTATAGCATTTGAAAGAAAACGGATGAATTCAGAGTGCAGATACGTATGAACAAGTATGATCTGGTAGTCTTTTGCCCAGTGACTGACTTAACCTTTAGATATTTTTCAGCCCTGTAGCTTGCAAGGTCTTGGATTAATCATCAGGTGTCTTACTACTTCACTGTTTATTTTTATCTTTGAATTTACATCATCTCTAATGTTTCTTTCCAAATCCCAGTTAGCAACATCCAAACTTTAAAGTAGGCTTACCTAGTCTTTTGTGAATGGCAGGAACCAGAATCCTCAAATCCTTAAAACCTGCAGCAAGTTTTTAACTGAAAATCAATCCTATCCATCTCCAGAATGAATTAGGACAAACGTTTCAAAGAAAGTTTCTTACCCCTTTGATCCAAATCATAACGTCACAATTTCAAAATCTATTTATCCCACAAGGACTGAAAAGAATAGACATGTTTATAAAAGGAGGAGAAAAGCATAACTTTGTTCGGAGACATTTCACGTACATGAACCATTCACTAACTTGCAAAGAGGACAATTTGATAAAATACTCCAGCAGAGACTTAAACACCACACGTTTATTACTTGCTTTATCTTTTCCAATAGGATTCCAAACTGTTGTGGAGGTTCCAGTGTAATTCTTAATGAACATTTTCTGCAATGTTTTTAGCCTTGGGCTTGTGTCTGGACTCGTTAATTTGCTTCTGCTTTTGGATGTTTTTGGACTTGTTGCTGGAGTCCCACGTACAAGTTGTTACACTTATTGCTTTATCCTTCCTATCTTTCTTTTGTCAACCAGAAATTTTGTTACAGAACCGTTGAGTACCCAATTTGAGGTATCATCTTCTGACAAGTCTCCCAATTCTGTCTATCATTACCTCTAGTTTTTTACTCCTATTACAGTTGTTCCTCATCTTTAGTCCCTGCCCTAGGGTGATTCTGATCTCTATCGCACAATGGCTCAGATCCCCCCACTGATGTGGGCCTGCCTATTGTTCAACAGTTTGGTAATATGTCGCCATTCCTTCACAGTTGTTGGGTCAAAAGCCTGGAATTCCCTCCCTAAGGCCATTGTGTATCTATCTACAGCATGTGGACTGTAGCACTTTTTGAAGGCAGTTCACCACCACCTTCTCAAGCAGCCAGCGGCAGGCAAAAAACGCTGGCCAGTCAGTGAAAACAACGTCCCAAGAGTGAATTTGAAGAAAAATTACAGTGACATTACTGCAGGATGACATGAATTGGGACTGAAATCTTCTGTACAGATACAGATGGAGAGTTGGCTCTATGAGTTAGTGATGGGTTTAATATAGTGGAAAAGGATGACCTAAGTTCAGGAAACAAGGATGTAGAAACAGTTGGGGTACAGGAGAGAAATGATGAAGGTAACTCACTTGTGTAGTGGTGTTCAGGGCCCTGAATAGACTCCCATATTTTGG